GTGGCTACAGATGATTCAGGGGAAACAAAGGTGATCCGAGAGTAAGAAGCTGAATATGCCGATCTTTGAGGGCTAAGACGCACATGGGTGGATATATAAGATGGAAAACACCACTGCTGACAAAGGAGGAGAAATTGACAATGAAAGGGCTTTGTTTGGAGGGGAAGGCATTGGTGTGGTACCAGTGGAGGGACATGAGGCGATCCATTTGGAGTTGGAAGGAGCTCAAGGACTATTTACTAGAACGATTCCGAACCAGTAGGGGAGGAAACTTCTATGAGCAGTTCTTCGCCCTAACATAGGAGGGGACCATAGCAGAGTTCTATGACAGGTTCGAGTACCTTGCCAGCAGGCTAGACCGACTGTCGGAGAAAATATTAGAAGGGAAATTCATGAAGGGGCTTAAACCGGAGATCCAAGCAGTAGTAAGAGTGATGAGGTCACATGACTTGAGAGAGGCCATGGAGCTGGCACAGTTGGTGGAGGACCAAAAGTACCTGGAGAGGGGGGCTAAGGGCAGCAGTTCAGGGGGTCATACAGGATGACCACCACCTTCTTAGCTCTTAAGGGGCCAGCACCAGGGAGTCTGAGAGAAGCCTCGAAGGAGAAGACTGGAGGAGGGTGATTTGGGGAAATTTCAAGAGACTCACTGAGGAGTTGCAGGAGAAACGGGCAAGGGGATTGTGCTTCAGATGTGACGAGAAATACACGTCGGGGCATAGATGCAAGGACTGAACTCTTCAAGTTCTCACTGCCTGTGATGACGAGGAAGTTGAAGAGGAAGGTGAGAGTGGGCTAGTGGAAGAGGAAGAGAAGAAGCTGCATCTGGACGTGGCCGAAGTCTCTCTGAACTCCATGGTGGGATTCACCCCAAATCACACCATAAAAGTGAAGGAAGAGATAGCTAACATAGAGGTGGTGATGTTGATCAACAATGGGGCCACCCACAATTTTATCTCCAATCAGATTGTTGATCTGTTGAGGGTGAAATTAGTGGACATCGGGGGCTATGGGGTGATGATGGGCACAGGGAAGGTGGAAATGGGTAGAGGAGTATGTAAGGAAGTAGTGCTTATTATTCAGGGGATTGAGATGAGGGAGGATTTCATTCCCTTGGAATTGGGGAGCACTGATATCATCCTGGGGATGAAGTAGCTACAAACCTTGGGAGATACCAAGGTAAATTGGGGAGCGTTGAGGATGGAACTAGAGGTGGAGGGAAGGAGGATGGTAATTCAGGGAGATGCAGGATTATCTAGAGTCATGGTGTCTCTCAAGACCATGGTCAGGACCATACAAGAGGTGAGGGGAGGGATCCTGGTGGAGCTCAAGAGCTTAGAAGTGGTGACATTGGAGGCAGGGATCATCAAGCCGAGTGTGAGTCCTTTCTCTAGTCCAGTCCCAGCTACTGGTCAAGAAGAAGGATGGGAGCTAGAGATTTTGTGTAGATTACAGGGCATTGAATAAGGAGATTGTGCCAGATAAGTTTCTTATTCCTATGATTGATGAGCTACTTGATGAGCTATATGGAGCAGTGGTGTTTTCCAAGTTGAATTTGAAGTCGGGTTATCATCAAATCAGAATGAAGTAGGAAGATGTTCTGAAAACGATTTTCAGGACACACGAGGGACACTACGAGTTTTTTGTGATGCCGTTTCAGCATCTTTATCTCGATAATTAAGAGTTTGTACTATTACAAATGATATCAGAGTAATACACCAATCGAAAGATGAGAACTAAGTGTCATATAATACAAAGTGCTACGCCATGAGAACCAACTCTTAAACCTTGTATGGAACAAAGTGCTACATGGTGGGAGTCACCATTTGAAGTAGTAGTGGCTATCTCTGATAATCATAATTGTCTAATGGATGAATATGGGATACAGATACTAACGAGAATATTAGTTACTTAAGTGGGGGAGATTGTGAAACCCCTTAAGTAAAAGAAGCTAAACTCTTAAATATCAATGTGTCTTTTGGTGTAATAGTTGGAATTTCATTTAAGAAACTGTGCAGTTAAGCATGCTCATCCCGAAGAAATACTGGGATGGGTGACCTCATAGGAAGTTACACCAACAAGATAAAACCATAAGACCCTTAGCCAAAGAAGACAATATCTCGATAGTTAAGAGTTTTGGTTGTTACACTAGGCCTCTTAGGCTTCGTTTGGGGCAATATTTTTACCGCTTATGAAGGAGTTTTTAATACAAATTTTTTTGAATTAAAAATTTTTGTACTAGAAAGTTGCTTTATAAAACAGTAAGAAAGTTGTCCCAAACGAAGCTTGATAGTGTTGCATAGACTTTTCTTTTTAATGCTAATTTCAATCTTCCTCTTTCTTTTTGGTTTCTCTAAGCTCCTACAAGTGCTCATAAATAAGCCCTCAATTGTACATTCTCTTTACAACTTGACTTATATGATAGAAGGGTAGGCTTTACTTCTTACATAAAAATTATGATCTCTCCATATAATACAGTGGTGACAAAGTGCTCAGAGCTGGTTGGTACAGAGCATAACAAAATGAAAGATCCAAAAGTAACTTTGTTTATAGTGCTCTTGTTGTGATGTATAATCTTTCATGTGAAATGTAAACAGTTGTTGTTTCAAATAGACAAAATTTGTAATTGATTTCATCATGTAGAGAGTTTTTAACATTTCCCACAAATCTTGTGTAGTACTCTAATCTGAAAATATTTCGAAGTACCTCTTCTCCCAAACTGAGAATTATTCAACTAAGGCCTTTCTATCCTATCTCCTCTTTTTCTCATCTATATCATTTAAAAGAATACTTCCCCTTCAAAGACTTGAGTAAACTCTCCTCAGACAATGATGTTATTATACTCATCTTTTGAATATTGAAATCATTGTTCCCAGTTAATTTCTCAAACTCTTAATTGTTAGTGCTAGTGGAATGCTTTGGTGATATCATATTCTAAGTTCAACATGGTTATGTTATGCCGCCAGCCCAGGAGGGGCCGGCTGGACCGGTCCTCTTCTATTCCAGGCGGGCCGGGGGGGGGGAAACCAGAGCAGGAAGAAGGGGGCGGCAGCCCTTGTGGGCCCAAGCATTTATTGTAATGAGCTTTAGGAAGGAAAATTTGAATCAAGGGGGCTGTTTAGGGAATTTTAATTAATCCTTTTTGCTTTAATTAGGAGTTAGGGGGGCAGTTAGGTTTTCATCTTAAATTTGAATGACAATTTGAGATCTAGGGTTTTCTTTATTTTGGGCTCTTGGCATCGCCGGAGATTGGAGAGTTGTTCTTCCTCTCAGATTGAAGAACAATTGTATCTTTGATGTTTTCATTCTTCTAATAGTGGAATACAAGTGTTTGTTTGGTTTTCTCCCATATTTTCATCTGTTTTCCTCTGGTTTTGTGCTGTTTTCTGCTGTAAACAGCAGAAATTCTGTTGTTTGCTCATCCGTTTTGCTTAGGTTTGCTTGCGAACTCAAGTATTACCTTAGGATTACTTGCGAACTCAAGTATTTCCTATCAGATTACTTAGAAACTCGTTTGTTCCAATGCAATTACCCAAGTTTACTCCCTTTGCAAGCGCTAAAAAGAGCAATATGATTAACCTAGGAGAAATAAAACTAGTATCTCACATAAAGCAATGATATAGAAACAAAAAACAGCCACGCAAGATGAGAACATCAATCTTTACTTGGTTTGGTCAAAAATGACCTACATCCGTGGAGCAAAGAGGAAAACATAAATCCACAAAAAATTGTTTTAAAGTGTAAATTGAGAGTAACAAAACAGATCAAATTCTCTCACAAGAAATTATAATGGAATGGAGAATATCTCACCAAACTCAAAAAGAGAGAGAGAGAGAGAGAGAGAGAGAGAGAGAGAGAGAGAAGAGAAGAAGAATTGCTCTCCTCACCAAATCTCAATAATAGAAGAAATAAATGATCTTCCTGATTTTCTATCTACCAAACTACAAGAAAGTAGTGCAGAAGGAAAATGCTCAAAGGAAAGAAGGTGTTCTCTGTTCACGATTGTAACCCACTTGGTTCAGTTTAAAGAGTAGATTGGAATATGATTAGGGTTTTTAAACAATTAATAAATTCTCTTCAAATTGGATATAATACCAGCAATTCTAAATATCATATCATGTTTGATCATCATCCTCACTAAATTATATGAAATTATAACACAATTAATCTCTTAATGAATATGTTCATGATGTTATGATAGCCATGCTTTCACGTCACAATATAACAAGACTGTTTTATCTATGCTTTCTGCATGCTATGGGCTTCTAAGATAAACTTTGTACTTGTAATTATTTGTTATAACCTGATTGGAGGGTGGAGCTCTATGTCATCGGGGATTTACCCCATATCTAACTTCACATTTTCACAGTCACACCAGATTGTGGTTGATTCATATGGCAATATGTCTAGCTAGCCAGCCATCAAAGCTACTATGTTGATTTCTCAAATCTGCTATCAAGCTAAGCTGGCTTATCAAGCAAGCAACTGTTTCTGGTCTGAACACCTGAAAACTTAAATTCAGCACAAATAGAAACAACTCAAACGAGCATACAAACAGGAATACATTTACATATTTACACACAAATATGTAAGATATATACACCTGCAAATAATTTAAAACATACGTACATAAATACATCACAAGCACAAGCCCGCGCAAATAGAGCAATGGAAACCCATAGCCATCCATGATTCTATACAAACGATATTTAGAAACTCAGGATAAAAGATCATGGAGTTAAATCAATGACCAAAGATTAAAAAAAATCCTTTTTTAAGTTGCACGAAGGATAAAAGCAATGGGGGAAATTTTTACCAAGAAGAATATTAAGAATCTCTAGTTACAAATATACCTACATAAGTTTAATTAATAACTCTAAATCCCACATAATCAATTGAAAGCAGTTGAAAAGTGAAATCTGTAAAGGTAAAAGTATAAATGACAAGCAAAAAGAATGCCAATATGTATTTAAAAAAATAACTTTTGGAAGTTTCAAAACCTTCTCAAGAATTGCTGCCTCTTCAGCATACATGAGCTCCCTTGCCCTTGAATCTTTAAGTTCTTTCTCAAACTTCTCCTGAAATCAAATATAATTACTTGAAATGAAAATAAAAGTCCTGCATAAGTGCACAAATTCTAAATCTCAACCATATGAATTATGAACTTTTTCTTTTCATTTTAGTATTTGTTTTAAAAATTCAATCAGATTTTCACTGTTCAATTCCTCCTTATTGAAGGTATGATGCAAATTACTTTGCTCATAAACATTCAACTACTCAACTAGTATAACTGATGAGAATGTAAGTAATTACACTCATTGCAAGCAAAAATCTGATGTGCTACGACAAGTTAGCAAGTTGATAATTTGGCGATTGATAGTTTGATGTGTAGTTTGAAGTTCTATGATTTTAATATACTGTTTAAGAACATTAGGAGCGTGTATGTGATGATGCATCTATGTGAATGGGATGTGTTCTCTTTATGATCTTGATTTGGCTATGGTCGTAGGATGTAGTGTTGTAGCTTTTAGTGGAAACAATGCTTATGTGATTCACGGTTTGGATTAGCTTACCTGCCGTTTTGGGCTTTCTGTTGGTTCTACTAGTGACTATTATTGAGCCTTCAGTTGATGTTCGATTCTTGGGGCTTTCAACTAATATAGTTTCCATTGATGGGTATTAAGCTAGACTTGTATTGTTAACTGAACCGTAACTTGACTTGCTTATTTATTACATCATAGATAAGTATTAATGGTAGACTGATCCGTGAGTGTTGGCTTTCGATTCTGAGGTCCGTGCCATTCCTAGAAGTTAGCGGAATTAAGGTGCAGCAGCTCCAAAAGCTTTCACTTCCTATAGCCTTGTGCACGTGATACATCTTGTTATTTGTATTATTGTCGCTGAAATGGGACTGCATGGCCGATGCTTTTGTTTTTCCAATTGTGGATTTTCTAAACTATTATTCTGTCGCTATTGGCGTTACATCACTGCATAGTTTAATCAAATCAAAACTTAGGGCTGCTGACTAAGGAATAGATATTATAAATGTAATTTGAGGTTTTGCAATGGGTTGTGAACTTTTGGTTCAGTAAAAATTCAATATTTTATAGGTATTGTAGTGTGGGCTAAGAAAATTCGGACCTGACCTCTGCTCGCATTTGTTATGCTTTTTCTTTGGCGAGGGAGTTTTAACGGAATAAGTTCCGGGGTAAATTTTGGAAGGAAGACGGATTTGTAGATAAGACACTAACCAGAGATTCGCCCTCATTTTGCGAGGACTTTATGATCTGAGTTCTGGTTTCCTATAGGCACAAGCCCCTATAGTTAATTACCCCTCCCGATAACGAGAGAGAACTTATTGGCTCTGGTCATAACCGGTATTTCGTGGTGCCATTTGGCAGTAAAACCACTTGGTTCAGAGGACCCCGGGTCATAACCGTTTATCCTGCGGTGCCATTTGGCAGGAGATTGTTTGAGAATGGATCCTAGTGATATTTTCGACTAGGCATTTGACTCTTTGTGAGCTGAAGTTATATTTGAATTTATCCACCTCGGCAAACTGTTGCGGAGGGTGGATGGATTTTGCTTTAAGCGTTCAATGGTTTGATTTTCAATTTTAAACATTTTTTGGATTTTCGAATTTTGGGATTTTTGTAGAGTTCGGATTTTGATGAGCATTTGGATATTTGGGAGACATTTGGAAATGTTTGTGAACCCCTCCGTTTGAGATAAACATTCAACACGATCATCATCGGGGTGTTTGGGGGCATTTTCATTTGTAGCTTGAACCTTGTCGACTCTGTCTGGCTGTCGACAGAGGATCTGATTTCGTATGCTTTATATCTTTGTTTATGAATTTTCTTTGTTAAGGCCTTGAAGGCCTAATATGAATGTATAAAATAAATATTCCGCTTTGTACCATAGTTCGTAGGTAACTCATTACATCTCTTACGGTTCCTTCCGCTTCCTATGAATGAGATATACCATATCATTCTTATAAAAGTGTCTCCTATGGAGGAAGTGCGTTGAAATCGGGTTCTCGAAGTTTTAGGGATCGAAGAGTTATACCTTGGCAATCGGTGCGTGGATCGAGGCAAGAGGACTTCATTTTTTTATTAATTAATTATAGTTAATTAATTAACTAATAATAATTAATTATAATTAAAAAATTAACTACAAATAATTACTCATGATTATTATAATTAATAAACACTCCCTCCATCATATTCTCTCTGGTTTGGGAAATTTACGGGATTTGGCCGAAGAGCGTGCAAAGGGGAAAGGTTAACCTTCATAGCAGCGAGCACCCTTTGTTGCTTCAGATCAATGTGTTATAACTTCCGATCCAAGAGGTGGAAGGGGGGTCGTGGAAGGAGGCGGGGAAGGCTCTCGGCTAGGGTCTCGCGTGAGGTAGGAGTCGGGGAGGGGGCAGGTGAGGTAGGAGTCGGAGAGGGAGCAGGATTAGCGGCTTGAGGAGTTCAGCTAAGGCAGAGAAGGCTTGGGTAAGGGTGAGTGCCCTCCCTCCCTCCCTCCCTCTCTCTCTCTCTCTCTCTCTCTCTCTCTCTCTCTCTCTCTCCCTCTCTCTCGGAGGTCGGACGGAAATGGCGAAAAGGCAGAGTCAGGCGTGGGGGAAGAGACGAAAGGAGGAAGAGTCGTGTGTGGCAGCAGAGGTATCAGAAGGAGTTCGGGAGGTTGGCCAAGAAGCAGAGGGGTTCGGTTGCTTTTAAAGGCCTTGGAGAGCAACGATCGAGGAGCTTCATACGGGAATCCCGTGAGGAGACGCTAACGGCGCCGAATGCACAGGGATTTTGACGGTATTTCGGGCATGTTTTGTGGATCCGATGGGTTATAGCAGGTATGTGCTTCATTTCGTTCCTTTTTTTTTCGTATTGCATGGAGGTCAACATGTAGCTATATTTTATTCAGCTACAGCATTATGTTGCAAATATCAATTTTATTAAGGGTTTTAGACAACAAATTAGAGATGAATTAGGCTACAAGTAGTGTAGCTAAATTTTATTTATCTACACTATTATGTTGCAAATATCAATTTTACTAAGGGTTTTAGATGACAAATTAGAGATGAATTAAGCTACAAGCCTCTTAAAACATTGAAGATTTACACAGATCTTTCGATATTGAGTACAATTATTTTATTATGATTATCATGTCAATGATTACTGGGACTAAGAAAATCAATATTTTGTCCTCTAAAGTTGTGGAACCCATACAACCGAAAGAATTATATATAGTTGAGGTTGATTCAAATGGAGAAAAGATAATTCATCAATACTTTTGAAGAAGTCTTCGAAGCAAAAGATGACTTGTAGCTACAATATTAATAAATATATGATGCTATTGAAGCAGTGTCTTTATATACATAAGATCATATTCATGAAATTGAACCACACTCTCCTCTCGTTCTCCCACTTGCGCTCTCTCTTTATCTAATCATTCCCTCCAACTCTTACCCAAACCCTAGAACCCTTGACAACAACAAAGCAAGGAAGTCACGAGCAAGAGCTCACTGATAGAAGGCACTAATGAAATTCGTTGTCGTGCCCTAACCAGCTGTTGTTGCCACCCTATACCTCTATCTCAATCTCTATTTCTCTACCTCTCTCTTTCTCTCTCTCTCTTTCTATATCTCTTCCTCTCTTTTCTCTATTTGCCTCTCTCCACATTCCCTCTCCCCTTTCTCTCCCTAGAAAGATAGAAGCTAAAAAATTCACCAACAACAACAACATCAAGCTTTTATCCCACTATGTGGGGTCGACTACATGAATCCTTTTTCTCCATTGTGTCCTATTAAAGGTCAAATTCTCGTTTAAATCTAATAAAGAAATGTCATTCCTAATATTTTCTAGCCAAGTCTTTTTAGGTCTGCCTCTACCTTTCTTAACATAAGTCAAATCTAATACCTCTACTCTCCTAACCAGGTCATTGGAAGGCCGCCGTTTTATTTGACCAAACCATCTAAGGCGACTCTCTCTAATCTTATCTTCTACTGGAGCTACTCCAACCTTTTCACATATATGCTCATTTCGTATCCGATCTCTAAGGGTAAAGCCACTCATCCACCTGAGCATCATCATCTCTGCCACACTTAACTTAGTATTATGCTTCTCTTTTAATTGCCAACATTCACCCTCACAAATTTTTCGTCTCGCCTCATTGTTGTCGTCATTGCCTCTTGCACAAGATAAAAAAACTCCTAAACACCTAAAATTCTCAAAATCATAATTGTAATGTGTTTGATGCAATGAGAGAAACCCATGCATGTTTTTCATAACACGGCATAAGAAACTCTTGGGCATCGCTCGCGATGTGGTGGGTAAGCTATGTGTGTGTTTTTCTTAGCATGGTAGGGAATTCATTCTAAGTATTCGTGTGCATTGTTATAATGCGACCAAAGAATATTGCAAATTTTTTAGTATATGCACAAACACTCATGCAAATCTTTCTTAACATAGTGAGATAGAGAACAGCGGAGTCTCATGATACCATATTACACACTTTTTTAAACATTGTCTAAAAAAGCCTCAACATGGAGAGACATCAAGATGCTGAAAAAATTCATAATGAACCTGATTTGGATAGAATTCACAAAAGAATAAAGTAAAGAACCCTATGGATAATAAAACAAACAAACTAAGACTTTGTTTGGGACATCTTTCTTACTGCTTTATAAAATAGCTTTCTAGTATAATTTTTTTTTTAATTTAAATTTTTTTTACTAAAAAGTTGCTTTAAAAAGCAGTAAAAAAAGCTGCCCCAAACATAGCCTAAATGCATACAAGTGAGAAAATAAAAAAAAAAATGAAGAGAAGAAAACTATACTATACACACATGAAAAATTGAGTGGCAACAACAGAACACAAACTGAACCTACAGAGTACTTGTGATGAATTTCAGAGCTCAATTGCAAGTACATAGCTTCTTAACTGCACTATAACAAACTCTCCTTAACACTCAATTTTTCTAAGAACATACTAGATGAATTAAACTTGAAATAAAAAAAAGAATCAAAATGAGCTCCTATAGAAGTGACTCTCTATGGGGCCATATGAACAAAATGCAAATCACAGACAGAAATCACGTCATTTTAAAAGCACGCAAAGCATTCCAACTTATGCTTCTCATAATCGGATCAGTGACATTTGCATCAGCGAACAAAACACAAGCAATAATAAATCAAAATGCAAAGTCACATGCATGTTCCAAAGGCAATACATTCACATAGAACTTTAGCGGACCGACTGTTAAGATCAAGGTAATTCTGAAAAGGCATGTATTGACAAAATTTTTGGACGACAAAAATAAATGTCAAATAATTCTTCACAACTACGGAATATCATATTTATGTTCCTATTAATCTTTGGTTGTAATAAAATGCATTCTCTTTACCTTCCTCATATTGTGTATGCAATGCAGTGAGAGACTCTTCTAATACTAATGTGTACAAAATAAGAGGTTTTCTTGAGGTCAATGTTGTAACGATGGACAGACTTACCAAATATTCCGCAACACTATCAAACACTTTCTGCATTATTTATCTCATTTGAAGCGAACATTTTTTTCATCAGCTTGATAAATAATTAATATATGCTCGACATATTTAATACAAAACACAATGAATGCTAGTTGTCCATGCAAAAAGCGAAGCTGGCGAAGATCATTTGATGAAGGAATCTCAATGATCGTCTTGGTGTTGTTCAAGTCAATCTCAACTTCTTAATGGCATACAATGTACCCAAAATTATTCCTAAGAAAACCCTACAAGAATGCTTAAGAGGATTCATTTTGAAATCAATTTTTGTTTATTGTTTCAAATACAATTCCCAAATACCAATATGATATTTTTCATCCATATAATGTTGTGGAATGGAATACTTGTAGCTCAGCATTTCTCCTTTTCATCCGCCTCCTAGACAATTTTCCTCCAAATGAGGAAGCTTTGGCATTGTACCTTTCGAATGCAAAAGGCTCAGTTGGAAGGATGGTAATGCTTATAAGTATGGCAGAGATCTTCCAGCCAGTGAAAATTCTCTTCATAATTGGGGCCACTATATTGGATAGCCTTTCAAAGATTAACCTCCTCTTCTGAGGGACCTCTACAACAGTGACAGCTTTAATGTGCAGGTTTGGTAAGTCATGCAGGTGCTTTAATAGGATGAGGCCTTCCAATGTAGCCTCACATAGGCATATCATGAACCGGAACAATAAAAGCCATGGTAGCAGAAATAAAAATTTACATCTACCAAAGTGTATGGTGGCACCATCATCTCCAATATTAATAACAACACTGGTGAGCTACATGGTGGATCCACATCCAAGTTGTATGGTGAAAGGGGGGTTCCTAAGATCCATTATGCATAAATTAAAGGTGAATATGAGTAATCAGTATTTACATAACAACCCACAGTTATAAAATGCAGAGGTAAGATAATGTCAAATTGCATTAACCAAGCAAGCTTCATGTAATAATTATAAACATTCAGAACCATGCTCAAACGAGAATTTTAACATTTATGGGATGTTAATTGAAAAAAAGATTTTAAAATGTAACTTTATTGTTATTAACTACTACTATAGTGAATGAACAACTAGCCAAAAACGAAATGAGAAGTCTTCCCCAACAAAGTTACCAGAAATCTATGGGCTTCAAAAGTTCACAACCCGGGCACTACTAAGAGAGTTTTGGTTTCTGGGTCAAATTTTCAAAAGCCAGGTTAAATTGAACATAAGATACCAATAAAAAATTCCACCCCAAATTCGATAGCTTTATAATCTAATTCTATATTTCACACAAGCACAAGATCTTATGGTTAATTGCCCCTTCCAATAGCAAGAGATAATCTTTTATTAAGGCTAGCCATTACAAGCTAAACACATTTTAAAATTTATCACTTTATACATAAAATGATTGATGAGGAAATGATGATGAACTCGATCAGGATATCATAACTCTATCGCCTTTTGTTATAATTTATAGTCAACTTAGTCAGAGAATGCAATCTCTCTCAACTAATTGAAGGATCCTTACGAGTAGCTATGGGTTGCATCATTTAAATGAACCTTATAAATCTTGGATGAATATTTGTCTAAGAGGTTAATAGAAAATTTTGTGCCCAATCAAGTGTACTCTATGATTTATTGCTCCAGAATTTTTTTAGCTACTAGATAAATAACGGGCCTTGGCTATGACCATAACTTTATTTAGTCATTTGTGACAAAACCACTAGGTCAGAGGGTCCTGGACATAACCATTTACCCGTTGTGCCATTTGGTGACAATACTAATGGTTATAGGACACATGCAACATCCTTATAAGTCATTTGAAAATGAATAATAGTGATATGCTCGACAAAATATTTGCTCTTTGTGAGCTGAGATAATCCTCAAATTTATCAACCTTAATACATGGTTGTTGAAATTGAATGAGTTTTTAGTTTAAGTTTTAGGGATTAATTTCTCTTGAAATATTTAATTTTTTTATGAATTCTCCTAATATTCTCGCATTTTGTTTGAATTCAAGCCTAAAATGATTTGTACATGATTTGAGGGTATTTTTGTAATAATATTTGCTTAAGTTGAGATTTACTTTCAACATAGCTTTCATCAAAATATTTAAAACATAGCTTTCATCAAAATATTTAAAAATGTCATTTAGTCATTTGAACTTTGTCACCTATATACCCATTTGCTGATAAAGGATTGTTCAAATATGAACTTTTAGAGTTGTCACGAGCAGTGACCTTAAGAGTTTGTATTTTTATAATAATTGTTTTTTAATAAAATACAATGGTGATCTAATGCAAATTTAAAAAATCAAACATCATCTTAGTTTTTGCAACCATTTATTCATTCATTAAAATAAGATTTGAAAATAATTCTTCCAGGTAAGCTATTTAAAATTTATTACTATTATATCTCTCATAAGATTCAAGTCTTGTCAACTCCGATCCTAACGAGGAGAACCATACTTCAACTATAGAACTTACAACTTTATCCTATAAATAAAATGACCTGCTCAAGAGTATCATGTAATGATAAGTTTGATTTTTAAAAGAGAGTTTGTAAAATTTCTAGAGAGATAATAAGGTCATTTTTTAGACTGTTTGCACACTTCTCGATGGGAGGTCAAACTTAAATTTATTTTATTTTGACCCATGCAACATTCTCAAACTTTAAATTCAAAATTTTGATGAATTTAGTTGTATCATATGCAAGATTATTGATTTTGATGGTTCGATATATTGCACACATCTTTTGATAGTGCATTCGTGTAGTGCACTTGTATACTTCTTAGTGCACTTACAAAATGCATTTGTAAGTTTCTTGATGTGCTTATGTGATGCACTTGAATACTTGCATAATCATGTGTGTTTACACAGTGTGTTTGTACATAAAAAATTGTCGTAATGTACAATTAGTCAACACATGGATAAAATCAATTTTGGTTTTGATGCATCCTCCACACTTTGTCAAAATGGTTATGTAGCCCATGACACACAACAATGCAACACCTTCTCATTTGGAAAAAAATTCATTCACGAGAGTGCATTGTTCATTCATAGGATGCACTACTTGTTAACAGGATGAACTATTTGTTCACTAGGCATCTACGAGCTCCTTTTTTAATAATTAGCATGTGTCACTTCGGACACTCATACACACCTGTGGCATGCAACAGGTTTGACCGTTATTTTTTGTTTGGAAATGATTCACAAGAACACAATAATTTGAGATGTATAAAAGTCTCATTCACAAGACTTTGCATTTTGAGTTTATTATTACTTGCATTCTTCCCACAGAAGGGGATAAAGGCTGTCTTTCGTTGTATTACTCGCATTCTATTCGCTTGTGCGTATGTTATGAATCTAGTTCAAGTGTCACGAATAGAAATCTCTTGAACGCATGTGACTTATATTTTATTTAGCTAGGGCCCACAGATAATCATTTTTTCAGCTATAAATAGAAGCCCTTTTTAGTTTGCTTTTGTTCTCAGTCATTGTATTCATCCTTAAATTTTTTGAGTGTTCAAGCGATTTCTAGGAGCAAAGGGGAAATTTTGTTCATGCTTGTTGGTGAGTTCATTACATATCCCTTGTAAGTCCTATTTCAGTTCAAGTCTTATCTTTATTTATCACTACAAAAGTAGCATTTCAAGTGTTCACATTTTTCATAATACGAGTTTCTATATATTATTTTTTTATTTTTAATTACATTTTGTTTGCGAGTCACTTTCATGTTGCTCTTTTCAAGTCCTTAGTTGACTAAGAAGTTCGGTGGCCTCTTGTTTCAAATTTATAGATTGTAACGTCCATGGAGAGATATTTCAAACAATCATCAAATTCAAATGCATCAAAAACTGTAGATGAGAATAACAATGAAGATTGTATTTATAATGAAAACTCTTTCAGAATATGAATAGTAGATGTTATAAATTGTAAGTTGTTTATTATCTTATATTTAATATTATACCTTTCTAGATAATAATTGAAAAAAAAAAATATTTAAAACTGTCTATGCCAGTCCCAAGCTCAGAAGAAAAATGTTGAGGGAAAATTTAAACAAAAAATAATTTAAGTCCCCCTAAATAAATTTTCTGGCTCCACCACTGGTTGTAAGAAACTTGATGTCTAACTTTTTTAATAGAAAAAAATTAATAATGTCCAAAACACTTTAAAAAGTAATCTACTTAACCTCACAATTGTTCTACAATAGCTTTTACAGGTACCCACAACCACCCCAGGAAATATCCTAAATAGCTCCTTGAACAAAAATCTTTATAAAGTCCATAATAGATTTTCCCTTAGTGAAAAATAAAGATATGGCAATGATATTCCATAATGGAGAAAAAAAGAAAGAATAACAGACATTTGCTAACAAAGCCCGATTGGCTATTAATTATTATTCCATTTGAACTTCGTCGAATGCATTTCTAGATGCTTTACTCATTTCATAAAACTCTAAACAAATTGCCAGAACCACAATGTGAAAAAGATAAGAATTTCATCATTTCACTTTAAACAAAGGAAGGCTGGAGAAAAAGGTAACATACCTTCATCTTCCTTTTCTCTTCTGTGAAGATGTAGGCATCTGACTCAGCTTGCCTTCTCTCAGCAATATGAAGAGCTTCTATGAAGTCAAGAACTAACTTTACGTCATCAGACTTTTTGTTATCATCAGAGCTGGCCGTGAAAGCCTTCAATTAAAAAATCAAATGAAATGGCAATTTATAATGAAGTAACAAAATGAAATTGAATGGACACAATGATATGTAATGGTAAACGTTCTTGCCATGAAATAACCTCTTTATCTTGAAAGAACGTAGTAATTGCATCAGTTCCCTCTGTTTTCTTATAACCATTGGAACTCCCGTCCTCAATTAGCAGAGAATAAGTTTCTGCAAGCGATTTTTCTTCCGTTCTTTCAGTATCTTGTGGAACCTAAAGGAGGGTGCCATAGCAAAATTTTAATTCGGACAAGAATGCTTAAAAAAAGCATTTTTAAGCATTTTCCGAAGGTAAAACATGCTTAATTTTACTGACAAATTAATTGAACCATATTGGATCAAGTAGAATTTTTTGTATTTCTCGGTTTAATAGTTCGACCAATTATAGTTTTAATCTTCCTAAATAAAGTTGGGCTAATAAGTCTTGTTATACCCATATGTTGTATTATAGGAGAAATACAAATTTCACAGATGCCCTTGTTTCCCTTTTTATGATAACACGGAAAAATTATTTTCAGGATTAAAATCTCAAACTAGTTGGTGGAGGAAAAGAATTCCAGTTAGAAATCAGCCCTAACATTCTCTGTTTTGATTAAGTTCTATTGAATAGTTCCATGGATGCAACGAAAGGAAAAAAAGAGCATAAAAACTTAACAAAGAAAATCATGCTTGCTTTATGCTAGATGGCCTGGTGATGCAGGACTACGTAAATGCAATGTTATGAGTTTCGCTTAGGCCTTGCACAACTCGTTGATTAGAATAAGTTTGGATTAAAATTACTAGCAATTATCCACGGCGAATCAAACAATGAGGAAGTTAATATTGCATAGGCTAAATTACATGCGCCGAAATTTGAACATTCAAGAATAATCAAGAAAATAACAACAACACAGAATAGTAGCTTCCAATGTAATCCCTAATCTAACAATGAGATCTAGGATGCATAGAAAGCGCACTCAATTCCTAACATTTACTAAGCTTTAGCGAGAGCATTGGGAGGAGACTTTGCGACTACAATCACACCGTTGAGAATTTAGACTTAAAGAAATAAGATGCAAGTGTAAGAGAAAACCTTTGCTAAGGAGCGGTGGAGATTCGTCATTCGATGCCTTCAACGTCTTCGTCCATGGCTTCTTCCAAATGTTGATCTCAAAACCTGAAATTGTGTTCAGGTTTGGCTCCAAAATTCTGAGAAAATTCTCAGATTTTTTTATGTAGGAGAAGGTGTTTGGAAGAAGAGAATTCAATACTTTCAATGCTTGGGCCTAAGGTGAGGAAGTGGGGCTGGAGAGAGGGGAAGAGAAGGCGTCAAGTGGGCGGGAAGCTGACGGGATTGAGGGATAGGGAGGAATTTTATTTCCTAATGCCAAGTTCTGATTTAGGAAATAGTTTAAGACATGGGCTGTAGGAAATTGACGTTCAAAGTATGAGAGGGAAATTGAATTTATTTCCAATAGTGGGAGTTGGGTGAATAAGAAATAAATCCTAATTATCCCTATGGGAGCCGTTGGCAAAAAAAGGTGATAGGGGCAATTAATGAGAGGATTTATGATCTCCTAATTTGGCTTGAGGCTTTAGGAAAGTATTTAGTCAAATCCAATTTGAATTAGAATTTGAAAATAGATATGAATTAAAACTTTCCCTTTTTATGATAACACGGAAAAATTATTTTCAGGATTAAAATCTCAAACTAGTTGGTGGAGGAAAAGAATTCCAGTTAGAAATCAGCCCTAACATTCTCTGTTTTGATTAAGTTCTATTGAATAGTTCCATGGATGCAACGAAAGGAAAAAAAGAGCATAAAAACTTAACAAAGAAAATCAAGCTTGCTTTATGCTAGATGGCCTGGTTTGATGAGGTGCTAGAGACTCTAGCATTATCCACAAAGAAAATGTAGCCCTAGAAAAGGGCAATTCTAAAATCAAGACCGTATCAAAATATAAAATAAATGGCTGGGATATATAATTGCATATTAAGTTAAGCCAAGAAATAAATCAAGTTAACTCAATGCAGTGAAATCAATTTCCTCATTTGAACACTATTTAAGAACTAAAAATATAAAGATACCACTTAGGTTGGGTTTAAATTTTTAACTTGGTCTACAACTCTTAAGTTGCATCCCACACTAATTTATCCAGTTTGGAGATTACAAGCTTGATCAAGTTGCAATTGTCAGAACTTGTTCTTATGTAGGAGAGCAACAGTAGAATGATAGATCGAAGAATGAAGTGGATTGAAAGAGTGGTGGGTGAACTTCGAATTCTAGTAGTTTTCTTAAACCCAGAAAAGTATTCAATACCGTATATTACCTTCCTCCCCGTCCATCCTCCTACTCCAAGCAAAAAATAAGTTAAAACTAGCTTCTGTCACACAGGACAGCAAAGCACAAAAATCAGAAACAAATGGAAAAAACAACTAAAAGGTTTTTACTACTTAAAACAGATACTATTCAAATCAGGTGATAAGCTTTGGCGGAATCATCAACGATTTGGATGCATATCACAAGATCGATGGCCCAGATTGCAACAGGCTGCTGCATCAATAGTCCATTTCTTCAGAAGAACTCAGAATCAGAGTTCAATTCACCAATTTTCGCAGCATCAATAGGATGGTACTCAAAAATGTCTTTCACATTAAAAGTTTTGAAAGTTTCATGTGCTTAGGAAGATCAATAATGTAAGCATTGTCACTTTTTTTTTCTTGGAAATGAACCATTCTTCTTAGCTTGTAATTTGTGGATGCGCCTATGGGATAGAGGTGTTTGTTGACGTGAACTATAACTAAATCTCCTTCCTTAAAGACCTTTTTTGCGATGATAGAGAGTTGGCTGCAGTTTATACTTTTCATTTAAATCGATCAATTTTTTATTTAACTTATAGTGTGGTTGTGTCAAACGTCCTCCCAAATCTTCAGCCTTTCGGTTGTGTTGCCAGGGCATCAGCTCAATACGATCAACTATGGCATTAAGTGTCTTTGTATGCATAATGGAAGTGGTTGAAGATCCAATAGAGCCGTTAACCATACTATTGATAAAGAACACAACTTGTGCAAGAGCTTGGTCCCATATCTTTGGTCAAACACCTGTTATGATGTAAATCATGGATTCCAAGATGCAATTAACAACAGGCATCTGCTCGTTGGTTTGTGTGTGATTGTTGCCACTCAGTTTTTTTTTTTTTCTTTTTAAATAGTTGCTACTCATAGATAGAGCAGTATCAACTTTCCTAGAAAGCACATGCTATAAGCAACTTATAAAATTAACATTGTGATCGGAGGTGATAGTCCTTGGAATACCAAGTAAACAAACAATTTCTTAGAAGAAGAGATTCACAATATTTTCCGCATCCGTTAATTTCCAGCAAGAAATGGAATGAGCCATCTACAAAAACCTATCAGCAATGACAAAGGAAGAGTCCGTTCAATGCGCGAATGGTAAATTCCAAATGAAAGCCATTCTTTACATCTTCCTAAATGTTATCCAAAACCAAAAACAAACCATAAAAAACAAATATTTTGATATTGAACATTTGCAGCTTGACAAACACCGCACTTTTGTACAAAATTGGTAATGTCTCCCTTCATTTGTAATTAACAGAATCGCTCCTAGACAACCACTATAGTTTTTAACGTCCACCGTGTGTTATGACCCACCCGCACATAAGTCTTTGATGATAAAGTCGCACAAAGATGCATGAGGAATGCAAAGTTAGTTTCCTTTGAAGAAGAAACTTTGTTGAATGCGAAGTCTCCCACACTAGCATGTTGTTGTCAAGCCTTCTATAATATCCATCGTCAGGAATTCAGATAAATACTCATTAATGAATGTTAATTTTAATATGATTTGCAATTATAAGCCTTAGAATATTTAATAGGGTTGTAAGTAGCCAAGGTTTTAGTTGGAAAAGTGAAAATGCAAGCAGGGAAAATTGCTTTGCAGGCGCTGCGATGCCAAGTTTGATAGCTCCGCGGCATTGAGCTCTCGGGAAAATAGAAAAAAATAGGAAATGTTTGCACTGCAACACCGCGACGCCGAGTTTTGGGTAGAGAAATTCTAGAAGATACTTTGAGAGTGTAGTGGCGCTGTCGTAGTGCTAGGTCAGAATATTGTTTTTAAAATATTAAAATATCTAAATCTATTTTGTCAAACCCATTTGAACCCCAACCATCTTGCCGGAGAAGGGAAGAAAAAGGGGGAGGAGAAGAGGTGAGAGAAAGAGAGGTAGGCAACTCATGCTCTATTTTTTATTTCAATTCCAAAATGTTTATAAAAAGATATGCTTATAAATATATTATTCTTGAGTTTGGAAAAAATTTCACTGCATAACTTTTAGTATATTATTACATACTCTTTTCTTGACAATTTAATTATAAGAATACTAAATTTTACAAGTTAGTTTGCTCTGTATGAATTTCTATAATTTCTGGATAAATATGGCACTTTTGAACCTCAATATAGCTGGTAAAGTGTGTCAAATTAGCATTTTACATATTCTCTGTAAAATTAGTAGAATTTTAGGAAATTTGAATATGCATCCGAAATTGGGGTTTCTTATATAAAACCCAGTATTTCAATTCCAAAATATTTATAAAAAGATATGATTATAAATGTATTTTTTCTTGAGTTTGAAAAAAAGTTTCACTACATAACTTTTAGTATATTGTTACGCACTCTGTTTTTGACAATTTGACTATAAGAATACTAAATTTTACAGTTTGGTTTGCTCTGTATGAATTTCTAAATTTTTGGATAAATATGGCACTTCTGAACCTCAGTATAGCTAGCAAAGTGTGTCAAATTAGCATTTTACATATCCTCTGTAAAATTAATAAAATTATGGGAAATTTGAATATTCATCTGAAATTGGGGTTTCTTATATTAAACCCAATATTTTATATACATGTTTTAGTTCCTCAGTCATATATTGCATTGCATCATATGTGAAAAGGTTAGGAATGAGCATATACGTGGCATAATACTTAGGTGGATGAGTGGATTTACTCTTAGAGATAGAAAATGAAATGAGCATATAGGTGAAAAGGTTGGAGTAGCTCCAATAGAAGATAAGATTAGAGAGAGTCGCCTTAGATGGTTTGGTCACATAAAACGGATGCCTTCCGATGACCCGGTTAGGAAAGTAGATATATTAGAATTGACTTATCTTAAGAAAGGTAGAGATAGGCCTAAAAAGACTTAGTTAGAAAATATTAGAAATG